CCATTTTACATTTGCACCAAAAAGATGGCGTTATTCAGTTCTTACATTAGAGATACGAGGGACTGAAGTCTGTGAGAAGATATTATTCAGCACTGTATTCTTCCTTATTCTCTGTCGTTTCCTCATAAACACCGTATTAGTTGATAAGTAGATCGTAACATTACCGCATGATTGTGATCTCTAAATTTTTCATACTGTTTCAGTTCTAGCTGCGTTACGTTATTGTACGTGCACCACGTATTCCTCGTAATTACGTAACACGATTTTTTTCCAATCGAGTGACAACAATCGGCGACGAAGACGACAAACGAGGAGCCGAGGCCGAGACTTTCCGCCGAGATTAATTTTCGGCACGACACACGTTCACCGACTCGGAGAAAACATTTCTGCTGACTTAATTAACGCTCGTACGCGTCTCTTTTTCGATGCCAAGGATTTAATTACTTTTTTACATCGACTCGTAAATCATCTTGGCCGAGGCCAGTCGGAGGCAGCGTCCTTCTTGCCGAGTCACAGAATAAAAAGTTCGAAAGCCAAAAGGAAGGAGGACAGGCGAACCGGGAACACGTGTTGTACCGGCAGACAGAGAGACAGACAGACAGACAGACGGGACAAAAGCTGTGCACGAGCGACGTTTCGCCGATGGATACGCGCGCGGAGCAGAGAGAGAGAGAGAGTGAACCACCGCTCCTGTCAAAACAGGAGTAGATCATCCCGGATGATCCGCCGGATTACAGGGCTGATAATGCTGGCAGGTAGCTCCGAACGATCGCCCGAACAATGCAAACGACGCGACAATGCGGATGTGGAAATGGCCAGCATCTGCGCAACCAAGACGCGCGTTGCTGGTCTTATTCTGCGCACCCTCTGCCTCTTCCGCGGCCGATCTTGCAGAAGAGCTTGCTGGTAACGCTGGGAAAAATCGTTCCATCGACTGAAAAACTTGGATATCGGGGTACAGTTGGAGACTGTTTAATATAGACGATCGTCCGATAGAGATCGGCGAGTGACGTTGAAAGTCTTTCTCGCAAGCCCGACGGGCATTGTTCCCGAGGCGTGCTCGATTCTCTCTCGGCGCGGGATCAGGATCTTTCGATTTTATCGGCCGATCGAGAAGAAAGGGCTCTGACGAAGGTGACAAGGCACCGAACAGTAGCACCTGATCAACGAGAGATCAACAATTCGTGGTCTACCTGAATGGATTAAGATCCCTATCTGGGAAGGAGGCTGAGTAATTGACCTTGCCTTAGGGAGATCAGAGGTTGACAGCTACCCTTGCCTCTGACGGCTGGGCCTGGACTATACGAAGCCACTGTGAATGAACGAAAACCTCGAGGATCGTTCGACTCTTCCCGACCTTGTATCTTTACTTTTAATCGTACTGATCTAAATATACCAATCGTACCTGTGACTGGTTACCGATTACAACACACTCGACGAATTTCGGATAATTTTTTATGATCGACGGTGAATTTAACAAATTAATCTCCGGCGAATCATCTAATTTCCAATCGTAGTACTTCGATCAAGAGTGCGAATGCTCCGATCGTTACCAATAGCAATAGCGTTTGAAGAATCTCGGAACTAATCTTAGATTCGTGTGTTCACGTTTAATCAAGAGACTGGATGATCGTCCAAAATGAAGGCTTTAAAGACCACTGTATCAGGCAAATCACTGGTATTCAATTCCTCGATCCTAACCTGCCTGGCTCTCTTACTTTTAATCGACAGTCCGCAATTACAATATTCGAAGCAACTTCGAGCAATTATACAGTTACTTATACACACAAGAAAGCACAACGAAATTGATGATCGGGGAGGGGACTCACCACATGTCCGTGTACCGGTGACTTGGCGATCGACTGTAACTGCGGGTAAAGCTGGCCAGCCGCAGCCGGTGTCATGTCGGTCAACATCGTCGTGCAGCCAACGTTTTCAACGTCCGCGCTCGGTCAAACGTGTTCCGAGTTCTGCCCGAGAAGTCTTGTCTCTCTCAGTCTCTGGCCGATGGACCGATATACAATAATACGCACTTCACTTGCTCGTTCAATTCACCGACGATCGAGATCGGCCCGGAACTTCAGAACTCATTGGTTCGAGGAGAGGAGAGGAGACTGGCGGAGAAGACCAAGTCTTGTTCCGCGGCCCCTGCGCGTCGGCTGCGGAGAAAAAAGCAGCGAGAGAGAGCCGGTCGGAAACAAACAACGTTACGTCGTGGTGCGTCGGGGAAACCGGTTAACGTGGTTCCCGTTCTTCGCCCCGTGACAGACTGCCGGCTATCCGATCGGCTTCGCCCCGACCAGAGACCCAGGGGAATGGTAGTAGGGAAGACCGAGCAGGACTTCGGCCCCCGGGCAAAAAAGGGGCAGAGCCAGCTGGGCGGGACCCGGGGAGAAGCTGTTGCCGCCCCTGACCGCCTCCGTGCCGTGCCCGTTTCCTCTTTACTTTATTTATCCCCTCCGATCTTCTCTCCCTCTCTGTTTCCTCTGCCTCCAGTTCTACCCATACACCTTCCTTGTTCGTTTCGTTCGATCCGAAAGTCGCTTTCTCGCTCGCACCATCACCATCACCGCCGCCGCCGCCGCCGCCGCCGATCGGAGAACCTTCTCCCACCGCTGGGATAATTTAACCGTGAAATGCGCGCGCACCACATCGCCACGAAAGAGGAGGCACGCGTACGATATACGACGACTTTGGTGGTGCCCTCTCCGCGGTGTGTTTCATCGTCCATCCACCGTGGACTTTCCACGGGTTTGTCCTTCCTCTTCCTGCATTCCCTCTGTCCTCGTCCACGTTCTCTCTCTCTCTCTCTCTCTCTCTTTTTCGTTTTCTGTTACAAGAACGGAGGTTTACGTGACCCGAAGTTGTCGTATTAACTTCAGCCTGCTGGATGTTTGACGTAACGGTATGCAGGTCGTCGGTATTTAAATACCGACATGCCACTATCTGATAGCGGGCGAAACGAGCGAAAGTTCATCGACCTCTGGCCGTCGGCTAATTGATATACAAATCGAATCCGCGCGCCGTGGATATACTGGATTGTCGGGGGTGTCGCGCGGGTTCTGCAGGTTTGCTTTTCGCTTTCGGAGCTTTTTTGGCTGGCTCGAACGACGTTCGGAGTAATGTGCGGCCGACTGTGCAGAAATTAAGAAAAAGACACGATACGATTAACAACGCTGACCAAAAGATTAATTCGTGGCTTGGCATGATGGTGGTTGTAAAGCTCCATGTCATGGTTTTGGATATGAGTCAGTCATATATCAAATCTTGATCATTTCTTTAAGAATTTTTATATATTGAACATTCATATTCTCTCTACTTCTAACACGTTTATTTCGTCGGAATTTGATGTCTTAATTCTAGTGTTAAATTTGCGAGTAACTGAAACTTAATAATAATAATTCCATTTATAGTATTTTGAATAAAACAGCGTTTCCTTAATATTTTTCAACAAATTAATTTCTTTGTACATAAATAATTACGCTAAATCATTATCATTCAATAGAAA